TTCACGGTGTACTTTTGGATATTACTGCGAGTTTTTGCACCAACAATATTATGCTGCCATAATAACTTTACTGTCATTACTCCCACGACGAAACGAATATCTCTACAATATCGCGAAAGGACACCATGAATGGCAACCGAGGAGCATTGCAGTTTCAGCAAAGATAAGTCTATTCCTAAAGCAGCAAAACGAACGAACGAAATCTTCAGTAGACCAGTTCAACAGATCCATTTCAACGAGAGATTCTCCTAACGAGGAGTCGAAAGCTGACTGACCAGCAGGTCCTGAAAAGAAAACTTTTAGAATAGGCACTCTCAAATTGGCAAGTGCAATGAGTAAATCAGCATTCGAACGCTAACGCTCTTTAGGAAGTAGAGCGCTTTTCGAAAACGCTTCCTCATATAATGAAAGCAACGATCCGAGCTAACAACACCAGTCTGGCACACGTATAAACCACATGGTAGCTCTCAGAGATTGGAGGTAGGTTATGGGACATCGGGTCCGACAGGTGCCACCAGAACCTCTCAACTGGTCCTTTCCCTTGATCAGTTCCAAAAAATTTTCTAGCGACTTATGCAAAGATTCAGAAGACAATGTGCGCGATTTTCAACGTGTAGAATGTGTAGAAGCCTTTTCTTGGACCAGATGGTGCAGTGCATAACCGCAGACCGTCCATTTTTGCGGCTCAAAACGCTTTATATCAGCGGCAGGGCTTTGCCATGCCTTGCGGTTTCCGCCCACTTGTTCATGATCTCTACATTGATCACGTCATATCACCATAGCTGTTTGTTGGCTGGGCCTCCATAACTCGTGTACTCTCGCCGCAACTCTATCCGTTTCACTTCGTAGGTTTTTCTTTGCATTTTCATTCATTAGTGGTCGTGATACCGAACATTCTACTGATTCTGAGCCCTTGTATCTGCACAAGGCACAATTCATAGAGATCTTTACATATGAGCGTTGAGGGACACGGAGCGTGGTTATGGGAAAGGAAATGAACGTGCTGATATAATCGTACGACATTTGGAAGGTCGACAATTAGGTGATAAGCCTTGAGATGTCGCGTAGCTCCTCCTTTGCATCGATTTCTTGCAAAACATTCGGAAGTCGATAATTGGGTAAAAAGCCACAAAAAGTCAAGTAGCTCCTCTTTTGCATCGATTTCTGGTCTTATGCGATGTATCTACCGCGCTTCCAGTACATTCCTCTTCGGCGGCTGTACCGAATGTCTATGTTACACTCACATTGAAGGACGGAGCATTCTCTGTCACGTATCTTAGCGTTAAAGGCACGGTCCGCGATCAGGTATCGAAGTTGAAAATATGGCGTCAGGAGGTTAGAGTGGTCCGCGACGAACAACCTTGTACCGGTTTCGCGGCAAAAAATTCTATGGGAGGGGCGCTGTAGCGCAATATAGGTTCAGTGGCTCCTCCTTTTTTCCAGCTGACTTCCGCCTCCAGGCTCCGGCCCCTAACGACGACTTTCAGGAAAATGGCGGTGCAGGATGAAAAAACATGATAATCGCACTTGCACGCATCGCAGAAATCGTTAACGGTGAATCAAAGCCGTTGGCATAGGCGTAGTTTTGGGATAGAGGTTATTGCCGGCACGTACAAATTGGGATCGAAATTGCGGTTCTATCCTAGCGGCAGATAGGCTATTGTTTTTTGCTGTTTTTTTTGTCCACAGTCGAGTTTTTCTCAACCCATTAACATCTCTATGAACCCTCTAAACCACTATCTGAGATGGGCCGATTGCAATCGCGAGTTCTTACTTTAAACTAATAAACTGTTCGCAACAAGTCAAACAGCCTTCAACGCGCAGCAATGACAACTACAATATCGCGGAATGTTGACTTACCTTTATCGGCGACAATTTATTGAGAGCTGCGACACCCATGGATCGCAACATAACCACAGCGAGGCTGCATTTTGTTGATACACACCGATTCAGCCAGTCACATAACACCATTACGGGGAGATTGTTCCTTTGGGCAATAGTATCGAACTCTTTCAAGTATGTGAGAGCACCTAAAAAATCTTCCATAGGTACGAAGACCGGAGTAAATGAAACGTTCCTTTACTACTAAGGTCTCAATTACCAAAGATCCCTAGAGCAAAAGCGATGAAAAGAAAGTGCTGTACTAGGACATATAATTCGCAGAAAGGGTCTGTGCGTGGTCTGTAATTGTGGCGTGCGCGTCCCGTCTGCCGCCACGGTAATTCAAAAGCAGACCGTCCCAAGAAAACAGTGGCACACATTGCTTTCGAAAAAAGTAATATACAGAAGTAGCGACAAGGAAACTATGTGGGATGGGACAGAAAGCACCGGTCGCCAGCCACAAGCACTAGTAGGAACTTAAATTCCACCAGGTTCCTATAAGGGGGAGAATCGTTGGGATGATCAGGGAGGAATAGCGGTTGGTTGAGCGTGATGGAAACGTCAGAACTGAAAGCACTTACACTTGCTCAAAGCGCAGTTCGCAGCAGCAGCTGGAGCTTTGTCCTAACAGGTAGGTAGCTGATCCGATGAGAAGAATCGATCGTAACTTTCCTACGGACAAGGTAATTGTGGCGAGAAACGACATCGTAAACTATCGCGACTACTGATTTGTAACTTCACTGATTTTGTTCTGAATCTTCCCCGACCAAAGGAGGACCTATTATGGGCTCGATGTGGGCTGAGTGAATAGCAACTGCGAGTCCCTAAGCTTTGAGGGACCCCTACTTGCTCACCATTATCATGTTCGTTTGCGAAACTAAAAACCTTGTTGAAAGTGAACGCCCGTTAGTTGACACATTCGTGGCGACGCCATTTTGCCAAAAACCCCCGTTTGTCACTCGACGCGTTCGCGACGGAACAAACGCTAAACCCTCTCGTTTGTCGTTTTCGGCAAAACCTCCCAGGAGTCAGTTTTTGACATTTTTTTACATTTTTCTTTTTGGGCAAGTTCTCATACGATCTCTAGTGAATAGGGCAGGTTCTTGCCTACTATCGGAGAGTGAAATAGAACAGAGAAGATGCGGAATTTTATGACGAAGTTAATTTGAATGACTACGTCATCCAAATCAACTCCCTCCTCAAACAACTTCTTTCAAAAAACATACAAAAACTGTTCGCGGTATTATTTGTGTATTAGTGAACGGGGAGAAAAATCACATGAAAACAGGCGAGAAGGCGCGTGTAGGCCCGGAAGTGTACGTAAGTCGCGACAAACTCGTTTGGAAACCTCAATACGCCTTGGAACGTATGTTCTCTTTCAACTGAATGGGAGAAAGTGTGCTCATCACCCACTGACCTCTGCTGTGTAGGCGCCATGCATTCAATGCTCACGTTTGAGTTGAAAGGCGTAGCTTTCTCATAGCATTTGTCTCACAGCGCCTCGAAAGTCAATGAAGAAAAGTGACTTTTTTTGCCCCCACCCTGTATTGTGCAGCGAAACGGGAAAATCGAAAAATTCATCAATCAAAAAATTTTCGCAAATCTGCCTGCTATGTGATTTATTAGGAGGTGGCGGTCGCAAATGAAGCAAAATAAGGAGGGAACCCAACAAATGGGAGTGGGGACGTCCTGTCGGTGGTAAAATTCTCCGTGCGACACACACTTTGACATCTACAAGCAATGTGAAGTCTCCTTTTCAGTGCCACCCATGACTCTGCAGTTATGCCTCTTCCGGGTGTTAAGGACTCATCCGGACTAATTCAACTTTACCCATTCTGACTAGTTCAACTTTACCCATTCTGATGTCGCAACTGCGATCTTTAATGGTATGGTGCAGCCTTCTCACGGTTGAAAGTCTGTAGTAAGCAAGAGGGACCAGATGTTGGTAGATAATGACTGATGTTGAGCTTTTTTCAACTCATTTTCCTACATTTTAAAAAATAACTGCCGCCGTTTGGCACATTTAGGGCATTCTACAAGAGTGCCTGGCGAAGCCAGGTCGGCCCGGCGAAGCCGGGCCGTGAAACAGAAGGAGGAGCACCCGGCGTTAGCCGGGTGATCCGACTGGTAAGTATAAACGATGAATCGTCGATGAATGGCAATCACCACGAGGTTCAACGTGGATGTAAAGTCAAAAGGAATTTGGAGAATGAACGGAGAGGATCTCTAAAAGCAGCAGACAGGCTCAACTATCATGTCTTAGTGGTATGAACTGTAGGCCACTGAAGACAGTAAAGTATCAAAGAGTTCGAAGACATTAAAACGGCGGCGCCAATCGTGATCAGTTCACGGTGCCGATGCTCTGAAGTAACTCCGCAAGCGCTGCATGCACGCCACTGGTGCATTTCCCCTTTTTCACATGGTCACTTACACGGACTGGTCTTAAACATAATCATTACGCATTTTATGATAGTGACTGATATATAGCACATGATGACAAACCGAGATCTGCGCCGTCAGATGATGCCTTTGACAAAACTTTGTTAAGCACCATCACATCGTTCCAACCTAGATTCACACCTTGACCTCCTAAAGGATGGATACGGTGAGCAGCGTCTCCAATCAGAACACACCTCAGAAGCACGTACCTAAACGATAATAGGAAAAACTTGAATCTCACTCCATAAAGTACAATTTTAAGTAACTATTAAGGCCGGATTTTCTTACGTAGCCACTCCACGTAGAACACAACTGCGCACAAAAAATTCTGAAATCACATTTAGCGCAGCTTCGACAGCATTTGTAAACTTGGGCCCATCAATTTGCTAACCAAATAGGAGTGTCAAGCGGGTGTCGCGGAATCATTGGGATGGCGATGAAGATGGCATCATTGGGGGACTAACTGGAAGCCGAACTGCTCGCACGAGATAGGGGCAAGTTTCTTAAGCCTTGCGTTGACTACCCGCTTGACAGCTCATGGTATGCAGAGTCAACTTTATGCCACATTATTTGGAGCACTCGTCGAATCTTCTTCTGTGACAGAGTTGTTTTCAACGGAAGTTCAGAAACTCGCTTCGCAAAAAAATTCTGCGTGTTTTTGGAATTAGACCACCACGCGAGCGGCGCAACAAATTTGGATGTTTTTGGATCGCTGATTTCGCCTACCATTTGGCAAAGGATCGCTTACTAATGATGTCATGCTCATTCTTGAAAAGAATTAAAACTCAGTGAGAGTACACTGATCCATGATTTTCTGACACTCTACAAAGAAAGGGAGAGGCTTTATGTACAATTCGTTTGCAGGTGGTCGTGCTAACCGGGCGCTTTCCTCGAGCTGATGCTTGACTGTAAACCATCCACATGCTGAGGCTGGATACGAATTCGGTTACTTCTACCACTCATTCAAATGAAAGACAAGATGAAAATGTTTCTAGAGGATGTTTGGAGTTGAGCGCGTAGAATCATTTTTATACAGTTGGAAGGGGGGGGGGAGGCGTGGAGTGACAGAGAGATTCTCCCATCGTCTGTCGTCGGAACAATGCGCGCTATTACAGCTCTCTGACTCTTACTTTCAGAAATAGATCATAACTAACGTATGAGAGTGTCCGAAGCCGAGTGGGTATGCAGCACGAGTATCTCCCTGAAGAGCGACGACGTGTGGAGGAACGGCGGACATACCTATCTCTTTCGAGACGAAAGGCACTTTTGAAAGAAGAAACAATGATCTGTTCACCCAGTCATTTTGATCTTCCTCTGTGAACTGAAATGAGTCGTAAGTTGCAATACCTTCTTTCTGAGTAAAAAGAACTATGAAACAACGAATACATTCTTCTCTCGGGCTATACCAAAAGGCCCCATGAGTTGCAAAGTGACAGGCGAAGGAATGGTAAGCTGTTGCACCACCCACGATCAACAGGTTCAGGTCCGAGAGAGCAGAATTGGACCGTAGAGAAAGAATAACTGACAGGGGAATGACATGTCGAAGTGGCCATTCGAAATGAAAATACCGACTGAAAGGTCTTCAGACGGGAATTACGAAACCGTCTTCCATATCTGCTGCGGACCTCCCAGAACAAAGTTACGGGCTTTTTAGGGGAAGCATACTGGCATTCAATACGAACTAGCGTCGCAAGGATATTCACCCGAAGCAGCGTAGCCGAGTGGATACTCGTAGGTCCCCTGAACACATGGTCGAGGGTTTGGATCCTTGATGCAAGTGCTCTTTTACATTTTCTCGACAGTGGGTCTCTGTGCAATTGAAAGTTTGTTCTCAGGCACTCGATAAGCCATAACCTCTCATGATTGATATGTTCACGGAAGTGTTTCGAAACTAATAGGACTAATGTCCTATTCCATGGAGCACCACTCAGATAGAACACCTTTCATCATTGTGTGAGTGATAAATGAAGGTTTAATCTATCATATTCTTCGGAAAGGATTTCACGACGTGATTTTGACGTGACAATCTTGCCGAAGATTATGATAGATTAAACCTTCATTCATCAACTCACATAGTGATGAAAGGTGTTCTATCTGAGTGGTGCTCCATGGAATAGTACACATTGGTCCTATTAGTTCAGAAACAATCCTTGAACATATCAAGCATAAGAGTTATGCTTTCGAGTGCACTGAGAAAAAAAACTTTCAAGTGCACAGAGACCACTGCCGAGAAAATGCAAAAAGCACTCGCACTAAGGATCCAAGCCCTCGAACATGTGTTCAGGAGACCTACGAATGTCCACTCTGGCCACGCTGCTTCGAGCGAGATATTCTTACGACGCTAATTCGCATTGAATGCTAGTTTGCCCTCTTAAACAGGCCTTGGTTTGTGAGGTCCGCAGCAGATATGGAAGACGGTTTCGTAATCCCGTCCAAAGACCCTTCAGTCGGTATTTCATCTTCAAATGGCCACTTCGACCTACCATCCTTCCCTTTTGAGGATGAAAGAGTGGGAGCCTAGAAAACTGACCTCAAGACTCACACCTCACGCCCGGTGAACACGAGATGTGGGTCCCGTTTGTAATAATACTATCATCAAAGATTGGGCCATGAAGAATGGCCCAATTCTTGATAATAGTAGGATTACAGAGGAATGTTTCAAGATTGCCCCCTAATAATCTCGTGGTACGCACCATTGAGTGGTTGAGTTCATCAACGAATTCCTCTTTCGTCAACGACAACAGGTGTTGCGCATGCTCCGTTGAGGTGGTCCATACAAGAGAAGAAAGTTTGGAAGACAAAGGCAGATACGCTATCGGACCTGCTCTGCAGAAGCGTTGCCATGCTACATCGTTTTCTCCTGGCGTCTAAAGTAGAGCTAAATCAAATCGAACTCATTAACCTAATATTTTTTAACCCCGGTTCAGAGAAGAAGAGGTCACGAAAAAGGATTTATAATCAAAGCAAATAAAACTACTACAGCACCGATTCATCATACTTGGAAGGTAGAATAGCCCGACTGAAGCAGAACGATGCGCTAGGAGAAGGGGGCAAAGCTAGTGCGGGGGTAGGTCAGCGCTGAAGAACAAGCAAACGCAAACAAATTGAGAATCATCGCACTGAGGGCAATTTAGCGACGGGCGGTGGAGAAAGCATCTTGTAATTTGGCCGCTTCACTAGTCCCGGGTACAAGCCTCTTTCTGGCAAAACCCGTGAACTCCTGTGAAGCTTGAGCAAGCTCGTCGAGCCAACCTGTTAACTCAACTAGTTCTAGATGGCTCGACACGTCAAAGGGAGGTAGCAAGAGTGCGAAATGCCCCGACGTCGCCGAACTGCGCCATCGCACTGCTTGCAATTACGTCTCTTTTTTTGAATAATTGTGGCGATGGACCGTTGCGCAGCTTTAAGGCCTTTCGTGTCGCGAGAGAGCCTAATGTATACCCTCTTTACTACCTCAGCGCAGACCGGATGCATAGGGCCCACACAGATCAACAGATGCTTGAGAAGACTGTTCGTGCTGTGCTCCTCAACTAGAAAGCTGCAGAGGTTCATAGTAGGCTCACTTGCCGTCCAAAAAGGTATCCAGAAAATAACTTACTATAAGGTAAATCAGGCCTGAATTCTGAATTAGTGTTGCAAGATTGTGTGATCCTCGCACCACTTATCGTTGGAGTGAGGGGACAGAAAGTCGCGCTGATGCATTCATTTCACCCATCTTGATGCTTACCCTGGGTAATGCAAGGTACATTTCGTTATTCCGTGCAGGAACGTGACGCAGCTCAAACTCCGCAAATTGGCTCTTCCTTCTCAGAGCCGCAAAGCGCCTAGCTCAGGTTTGAGACATTCTGACATGGGAAGCGAAAAGGCCCAGGCGATGATGCTGCAGGTTATTGTGCGGACTCTGCCTTCCTATTATACCTCGTGTCCCTGCTCTGCTCTTTTGTCCGCTTGCTTTACATCCCTTTCTACGCTCTGATATGAACTGAACCCCGGGCACATGGAACCTGTAAAAGAACAGCAACTTACCTCGACAATAAGAGTAGCCACTACGCCACTTTGATTGTATTTAAAAGTTGTGTAGTTCACGCCCATAGACTGTCGAACCTTCGAATTTGCACCGTCAGCACCTATCTGAAAATAAAGGCGACAACATTTTGGAAATACCCTTTCATGTAACAACTCTGATCTTGGTACTACTCCCGCCGAGTGATTATGCAGCCGTTTTCTGGCAGATAAACTAAAATGGAGCATGAAAGCTCTTTGAAATGTTTTCTGCATGTTAAAGACACTCCCCGCGATCAAGTGGTCCTCAAAATGACTTCGTGCTTGGAACCCTCTACGCCTTGACGAAGATGATACCACTTTCATCCCTCAATATGGCGCGATAAGGAAGTTATAGCGATTTCCACAAGGCTCGCTAGGCTCGCTGACACGGTAGGTGGACGAGGCGTCCGGTCCCGAGCTGCTTCCGTCCCTTTAAAGTATCCTATTTCGAAAGTCGGGACGCAATTGCGGCTGCCGCATCGATTTCTGGCAGCCACGTCCGGCACACTCGTCCAGGCCCCGCCCCCACTGCTAAAGGGAGGTCTGTGTTCAGGGTGTTCGCGAGGTTTTTTTTCCCACTGGGGGGTTACAAATGGGCCACTGCTTCGTTACTGGGCACCAATTACCCGAACACTTTATCGCGGGAATTGTCTTTAAATTAGTTCAGTATAATGAGAACTCAGCTCAACTGTGCCAGCTATGAAAAGAAGGAATGTCAATTTGTTTGAACCCCTTTCTCCCCACGAATACTAATCGCAGATTTTTGTTATGATAACTGCTGTTTTACGCCGCAGTACGCGTTCCGGATGTTATCACAAGAATGCTGAGTTGTGGGCAAAAGAGATAAGGAGTTGTGGGCAAAGTCGTGCCCCAGGCGGGAGTCGAACCCGCACCTCACGCTTTCCGGGCGAATGCGCTATGCTTTACGCCACCAGGGCCGCTTTTACCCTCTCAGCTTAACGGTATGCCGTAACCTTACAGCACTCACAAGTTTACCTTGGTGAGCCGGTCAGCCGTAATCGTTAGATATCGGCATGGAACCGCAAGGCCGAAGGCTTTACAAGTTTTTGAAGCTGTTTTGTTATGATAACTGCTGTTTACGCCGCAGTACGCGTTCCGAATGGTGGTGAAGTCTGCTCCTCCACGCGGTGCCACTGGATACTGCTCGCTTTGCGAGTTGCCAAACGCAGACGCACGAACGCAGGTGACAGGCCTCCGTGACGGGCCGGCCTACGAACACCCATGTCACATCAATATGTTTGTCATGCCATATGTATATCGAGATAATGCTACGGCGTCCGCGGGAGCCGACGCGCACTCGTATGGCCCGGCGAGTGTGGAAAGTATGCGAGGGTTCTCGTTGCAAGGACGGCATCGGGAGGCAACCAGGCTAGTCCAAAATCGTGGCAGAGCAGCTTGTAAAGTCCGTATCGCAACGTTAAACGTTGGAACCTTGACCGGACGTTCATGTGAATTAGCAGAGGCACTGGAGCGCAGACGAATCGATCTCTGTGCAGTGCAGGAAACAAGATGGTCCAGTTGCAAGTCGAGAGACCTTGGTCGGGGCTTCAAAGCCATTCTTTGCGGCAAGCCAAGGACCACTAACGGTGTGGCCGTAATCGTCTCACGACGTTTCCGTGACTCGATAGCTAGCGTGGAACGTTTCGACGACCGCTTGATGAAGATTGTTCTTGCTGTCGAGCAGCGACTGTACCACTTCTTTTCTGCATATGCTCCGCAAACGGGATGCGCTGAACAATCAAAGGACGAGTTTTGGACTCTGCTTGAGGAGAAGACAGCTGAGGTACCGTCAGAGGACGTCGTAATTGTCGCTGGTGACCTTAACGGGCACGTGGGCGCAACGAAAGACGGTTACAGCTGTCATGGTGGTTTCGGTTATGGGACACGTAACGCCGATGGCGAACGCATCTTGGAATATGCAGAAGCCCATAATCTCGCCATCGTGAACACAAAGTTCCGTAAACGTGACTCCCACCTGATAACCTTCTACAGCGGAAGCGCCAGAACACAAATAGACTTTGTTCTTGTCAGGCATCGCGATCAAGGACTTGTCACAGACGCGAAGACCGTGCCGTATGAGACAGTAGCCTCGCAACATCGCCCGCTTATCTGCACGCTAAAGATAACACCGCCCAGGTCGAAACAGATGGAGCGATGTGGTCCCGAGAGGATCAAATGGTGGCATCTGAAAGAAAAGGAGGCAGCTGTGATCTCTCGCATTCAATTACCAACTGTCACAACTGTCGACGCAACGTGGAAGAATGCTGCCAAAGCATTGTCCAAGCCGCTCGCTCTGAACTTGGAACAACGAAACCTGGAAGGCGTAGAATTGAAAAGCAGGCATGGTTGTGGACAGATAACGTCAGGGACAAGGTTCACGAGAAGAAGAAGCGCTACCACTTGTTCCTTGAAGACAAGTCAGCTGGCAACTGGCAAAAATACCAGGAAGCGAAAAAAGCGGCAAAGAAGGCTGTGGGTGCCGCAAAAGCTTCTCACTTCGATGAAATCAGCAAGAAGCTGGAAACACGAGATGGCGAGCGGCACATTTACCGACTTGCTAAAGCTCGTCACCGCCAGGCCGAAGACGTGGAGAAGTTCTTTGGCATCAATGACGAGAAGGGTCGCCTCCTGATGGACCGAACAAAGGTGCTGAGGCGATGGCGCGACTACTTTAGGAGAAATTTCCACAGTGGAATATGAACACCCGGCCATCCCTCGCGCCTTACCAACATACGGTCCCGTTCGAAAGATAAGCGTGGACGAAACGGAGGCGGCTCTCAAGAAGATGAAGCCAGGCAAGGCAACGGGCCCTGACGACGTGGCGGTCGAAGTATGGAAGTCACACTGCTGGCATGCTGCCGTTTCACAATCCAGAGAAGAAAATGCCCGAAGTATGGCAAGAGAGCACGACGGTACCGATCTGGAAGAAAAAAGGCAGTCCTGCAGACTGCTCAAATTATCGTCCAATTCGCTTGCTCTCGCACAGCATGAAAATTTTTGAGCGAATTGTTGATAAGCGTCTTCGTGATATCGTCCAGCTCTCCACCAACCAGTGTGGCTTCGTGACTGGCTGTAGCACCATCGACGCCATACATGCCGCTCGTCTCTTGCTAGAGAAACATCGTGAGAAGAAGAAGCATGTCCACCTAGCCTTCCTTGATCTGGAGAAGGCATTCGACCGTGTCCCACGTGAAGTTATATGGTATGCCTTACGGCAGCACGGCGTTCCCGAAGAGCTGATTGAGTGGGTACGCATCCTGTACTTCAGCCCGACGAGTCGAGTGCGAAGTCCAGCAGGCATTTCGATGGGGTTCCCCATCACAGTTGGGGTGCACCAAGGCTCAGCGCTTTCCCCGCTGCTCTTCGTTGTCGTCATGAACGCCATTTCACGGGACCTCCAGAAGCCGGCTCCCTGGACGCTTCTCTACGCTGACGATGTGATGCTGGCCTGCGAGGATAAGAATGGTCTCGAGGAACAAGTGCAAGCTTGGACTGAACGGTTAGCAAACTTCGGACTCAGATTGAACGTCAAGAAAACCGAGTACCTGACGACTGACCCGGACGAGTCTGGTTCCCTTAGGGTCAGCGGAAGTGTGCTCACGCGAACGACAGCGTTCAAATACCTCGGATCAACAATTACGTCTGACGGTAGTCTCTACTCAGAAGTGAGCGCGCGTGTGAGTGCAGCCTGGTCTAAGTGGCGGTCTATGACTGGCGTTCTCTGCGACAAGACGATACCAGATCGCCTCAAATCGAAGATATATAGGACCGTCGTTCGACCAGTCGCGATATACGGTGCTGAATGTTGGCCTACGACCAGAGAAGTTGAAGCGCGCCTCGGAGTCATGGAGATGAAAATGTTGCGGTGGACAGCCGGTGTCACGCGTATGGATCGCATACGCAATGACGACATAAGGAAGAGATTCGGTGTTGCTCCTGTGGCCGAGAAAATGCGCGAAGCTCGCCTTCGATGGTATGGTCATGTTCTTCGCGCGGGGTGTGACACCGTCCGTAGGATTGGTCTTGAGCTCGTTCACGGAAAGCGGCCTAAAGGACGCCCCAAGCAGCGCTGGTTAGACACGTTGCATGCGGACTTAAAGATAGTTGGCACCCATCCCGATCAAGCATTCAATCGGGAGAAGTGGCGTGACAAAATAAGACGAGCGGACCCCGCTACAGAGCGGGACAAACGCTGAGGAAGAAGAAGAGAAGAAGTACGCGTTCCGAATGTTATCACAAATGTGAAAGCCTTCGGCCTTGCGGTTCCATGCCGATATCTAACGATTACGGCTGACCGGCTCACCAAGTTAAACGTGTGAGTGCTGTAAGGTTACGGCATAAGCCGTTAAGCTGAGAGGGTAAAAGCGGCCCTGGTGGCGTAACGGATAGCGCACTCGCCCGGAAAGCGTGAGGTGCGGGTTCGACTCCCGCCTGGGGCACGACTTTTGCCCACAACTCAGCATTCTTGTGATACTATTTGCAGCCTCTACTTGGGGGTGAACGGTTCGGACTCTTCCAGCACGTATCATCGTGGACGGTGCCACGATAGAGCCTGGCGAGCTACAGTGGAGTTCTCAGCGGACGGTGGGGCGGTCCTATGCCATGCTGGCGAGCGATCCGATGATTTCCTGTTGGTGGAAAGGTGCAAAAACATTGCCTCTGCGTCTCTGATACTGACTCTGCGCTCTAACACACGCCGCCGCACAATCTACTCACTCTTCCGTTCTGGACTCTCGCCGATCGATAACTGCTCTCAATCAGCTGATTTCTGAGACACTTTCGCTGTATTTGTGCTGTATTCAGTTTGTAAAAGCTGTTCTAGTTCCGACGTCAGTTTTCAATGGTGACTATGTTTACTGAAATTAGATTACATTTTGCAAGAATTTAGCATGGTATTCTTTTAGAAAACTTGTTTCTTCTTCCCATTTACGCGATTTCTCTTGAATTTTCTTGAATGCCCTCATTTACCTTTGATGTTATAATTAAAAGACGTGCAAAGGACGCAGATTTGAGGATATAGTCCAAAA